TCTCCTATCAGATAGATATAGGATGGGTCAAGTTGGAAATTAAAGGTAATTAGGACAGTAAGATAGCTCAGTAGGTAGAAGTACTTTCTGGTAAGCCCAATGACAGAAGCTTGATCCCTAAAATCCATGTACGGCAGAAGGACAGAACCAACTCCTGAAATTTATCTTCTGACCAAACAATGTGCTGTTTTTTTTTTTTTTTTGCACACTACACTCTCTCACACAGAGACAATAATAATACATGATATAAAATTACAAAAGAAAGATCACTAGCTAGCATGTGGTTACTTCTTATATGGACACTAATCTAGTAAGTGCGATCTATATTCTGATTACATAATTGTCACCTCTTAAAGATTCCATCTACAAATGTCATCATGATAGATTTAGAGTTTGGATATGGAATTTGGAAGTAAACAAAAATTCAGAGTATAGCAACCCTTTTTTTCTTCTAAGTTTCTCATAACTACACACACATACAACATATAAATATACAAATATCACCTACCTGCATACATGTACATAAATCTATCACCTATGTACATTCTATCTAGAAACAAAATGTAAATGTAAAAACATGAATATTAACTCAAAAATGTCTACATTTAACTTTGAGAGAAACAGAGTCCTAAGAGACTGGGAGAAAATTTAGGTATACATTTTCTTAGCATGACTTAAATACTACAAACACTTTGACCTAGGCCCTCATTTTTCTCTTATTTAGCTGACTATTTTTCAGGGTGTATTTCATATCACATTATGCATATAGAATTGCCTATAATCAGACAAGTTTGGCAAATGCTGCAAATTCCACCTCCTTATTGAAGACTCCCCTCGCACATTAGCATAATGAAGTGTTTGCATGTTTCTCCAGCTAAGCATTTTACCCTTGCTGAGCCTGAGTTCCCAAAGTGCACTTGACAAAGAAGACATCTTTATTTTAATATGAATGCCTGTACTCTTCACTTCCCTTTACCAAGCACAGACATTTATCAGAGGCGTGAGGTGCAGAATTAACTGAAGTCAACTTGCATATCCCAACCATGAAGATGGAAAGATAATGGTGAGGTAGGCCTGCTGCCTATATCACTGCTCATGGAGTGTAGCTCCTTTTAGATACCAGAGCTCTCTTCTTTTTGGGCCACACTTAATTTTAAGGACCAGTGTTACTGTTCTTGAAGAACTTGACTCATTTGTTTATAAATTTCAGTTATGGGAATGTTTGCAAGCTTTGTGGCTATCTAGGATAAAAGCAACATGAAACTGGCAAGATTACTTTATCCCAAGATTAAAACAGAATTTAAGACAGGAACTTTTGAATAGCATCTCTGATGTTAGCTTGCAATCATTCATTCATTGAGGAGCTTCTACACTGTAAAGCTCATATGGTATGTAAATAAATAAAAGGAAATAGTTATTACCTTCTTTTTTCTCTTCCTATTCTAAAACATTTTTCATGGACCCAATATTTAAGAAGAAAGAAACTTTAGATGTAGACAGAAAACAAACAGTTTATCAAATATCACCCAGTTGGAATATGGGAAGACAGAACATCTTTCTCATTTATTAAGGATTGATTGGAAACTGGACATGCACAAGGTTCTGCAGAGTTATTTGAACATACACTGTCATTATACCTCTCACCACAGTACAGATGATTTATTTTTCCATGATAATACAATAGTTTGCATCCCATGGAAGAAGCAGATCTCACTACCTGTGCATGAAATTTCTGTTTTGTTACATGTTACTGTTCCATATGTTAATTAGACTGTTCCTGATCTTGAAGTGCATTTATTCTAATGGAGGAAAAGGACATGAATGGGTCTTCTCCACAGTCTGTGGAAATGAGAACATGGAACAGGTTTTGAGTGTTGGCTTTTCTCATTTTGCTTAGCTTATTCAATCTGCGTAGCAAAGTTTAGGATAAACACTGCTTTTCTCTGTAGTAACCACATGTTATTGGAGGAGCCAGGAATCTCTAGACTCTTTTGACCAATATTACCCAGGAAGAAGGTAATGGAAGCTGGCATTTAGATTCAAAATGTCTGACTCCATAGTCCACAAAATTAGTTATGATCTATTAGGGAAAATTAAGCTGTGGTTCCTAGGAGTTTAACACAAATAAAAGCACTGTGAAAGATAGAATAATAACATTTAGGGTGGGTGATAAGTTGTAGCTTCCTGGGGAGTTCCATGCATGCACCTTACTCTTGTCATGTTCACATAAAATCTCCCTTACATGCTTTATTAATTTTAGAGAAACATCACATTGAGGATTGCATTATAAGAACCCAGGATAGACTTAGTCTTGAACTCTAAAACAGATTTCTACCGTATTTTCACAAACAGTATATTAGGTTAATGGTAGAAAACCAGTGCTGTCAATGCAGCAATAAATTGAAATGATAACCAAAAAGCTTGTATTTTTTTTCTACCTTTTTCATTATAGGGTATGATATGCCTGTCAAAAAATGCATTTTACTAGAAGTGAGACATCAGAAAAGCAAGCTTCCTAGGATCTCAGCAGTTAGCAGTGTTTGTGGTGCTGCATGTGAGGGCCACACGGCTGACATAGTCATGGTGTTTGAGTCATATAACTGCCAGGTTGGCAGTTGTCTGTTTCCATAAGCAATGTGGGAAAATGTCAGTGGATATTACATTGTGACATGTGGAAGCAGCTGGAGCTGTGTGGTCCTTCCCTGCAGGGAGCAGAGATCTGTATAAATATTATTACATTTTAAAAAACATTTAGTAATGATATGTTTCACTAACTATTTTGTTATCAGATTGTGCTCCCTATACTGTAAAACACAGCATTTAAACAGCCATTAGTTAGCAAAAGGTCAAAATAATTTGTGTGAGGATTTATGGGTGTCTTACTTTCTCAGGAAAGTTGGTAATGAAGTATGTGCACAAAATATTTTTGGATCTATTAAAATATGCCATGGAGGATAAAATAGCATCAGTGATGATGTGAGACCTAGAGGACATTTTGCTGCTGAAGAAATAATAGCATTTACTTCGTTAGTTTATTTTTTATCTTGGAAGCATAAGCTTAAAGTCATCATTACATACATGCTGTGGCAAAAGATGATCTGTGTCTATCTCTGGGGAGCTGGATTTTGATTACCTCCAGCTAAGACTCCTAGATACAGTAGAGATGGTGCCTGATCTGGCTTTCTTCCGTAATCAGATTGGTGACTACCCTAATTGTCATCATAGAACATTCATCCAGTGACTGATGGAAGCAGGCAGGTACAGAGATCCACAGCCAAGCACTGGACTGAGCTCCAGGAGTCCAGTCAAAGAGAAAGAGGAGGGATCTTATGAGCTGAGCAAGGTGGATCAGGATCATGATGGGAAAATCAACAGAGACAGCTGACCTGAGTTCTTGGGAACTAAGGGACTCTAGACCAACCGATAGGGAGCCTGCGTGGGATCTAACTAGGTCTTCTGCACGTAGGCGACACTTGTGTGGCTTGGTCTTTGTGGGGCCGCTGACAGTAGGACCAGGATCTACTCCTGGTGTATGAGTTGACATTTGAAACCCTTATCCTAAGTGGGTGCTTTGCTCAGCCTTGATGCAGGGACAAGGGGCTTGGTCCTGTCTCAACTAGATGGGCCAGGCTTTGTTGACTCCCCATGGGAGGCCTTGCTCTTTCTGAAGAGCAGAGAGGGGGAGGGTGGAGGAGATGGGGATTAGGGGGAGGATGAAAGGAAAGGGAAACTGTGCTTGGTACTTAAAATAAATACAAAATTTAAAATAAAAAAATAAATTTTTGGCAATAAAAGCCAACAACAATAAAATACAGATTTTTATATCATAAAGAGAACAGAAATTAGAAAGCAATATAAACATGTAAACAGGAAACTTTCCCTTTAATTTTTAACCACTTACCTTTCAGCAATAAAGACTCTTGCATTTTCCAAAATAATAAATGCAATCAGTACCTTTAAAAAAAACTTCGACTCAAACCTAATATGCAATAATAGTATTTTTCAGTAACTTATTTGATATTGGGATTAAAAGATTTATATTTATGTTTTCAGAAAAGACATTCATTTATTAGGTTTCATCTGAACTCAAATGGTTAACTATAATTAGGATTCTTCCTATAAACATAAATTTTCTTTCATGTGAAAATGAGAATATTTATATATTTTTATAAAAACATGACTGCTTTTAGTTCTTGCGAATTAGGCCAATTAAAATCTCTCCAGTTTTTGTTTGTTTTCCTTCAGAATTCCACACAACCATTGTGACTGTCCCAATCCCGGATGTGAGAAAATTAAAGTTAAATACATTTCAATAAATTTGGATAATTTTAATGTTATCAACACATGCCACTTTTTGAAAAAGAAATTCAGATACTATTGGCCATACAGACTGAGTTCATACAAAAAGGGAACTGCTTCATATGTAAAATGGAATTCTATGATTTGAAAGAATGCTTGTATATTTACTGCATTATTTACATAGCGGAATATTTTTAACCTCAAGAGTGTGAGTAATGGTGTGTCATTGGTTTGGCTCCTGTTGACGTAATTAGATTACAGTGACGAAATTTCACGTGTGTCTATCTGGGAATTAATTTTAGCAATTGACTTTATGATAGATAATAACAGCATTTTAGTTTGGGTTTTGCTTTTAAAAGTGAGTGGAAACATGCATTGAGATCTGTTGATAAATGCTCACATTAGTATTGCTTGTGATATAATGTCCTGCTGAAAAACCAGTCCATTCTGAAGCCTTTAAATTACCTCAGTCCCAAAATGCCCTCTTCTTAGGGCCACTTAATGAACTTAAAAACATACACTGGTTAGAAAACATATTTCCTACCATTTCACCAATGGCCTATGGAGTCCTGCCTAAATCATGAGTGGGAGTTAAATAGCTGATAATTATCATTAATTAAATATGGATTAGTACTACTATTATATATTATCATTAAATCTTATATGTTATTAAAATCAAAGCATTATCTAGTAGTATCAAAATGCTCACTGGATGTGGTATTAAAGACTTGGATCAATTTACCAATTTTTTTATGACTGACATTTCACGACTTCAGAGATGTGTGTCTGATGTGGAAAACCAAAGAGGAGAGAGCCTCATCTCTCTGTGGAAATCTACTGCTTTAGCAACTGCTGCGTTCGGAAATCCTGACAGCCAGCTCCCTCATTCCAGAGCCTATATTCCTACATGTTTTGTGGTCCCAGAGTATAAAAATTACCTATTGGAAGAGTTATTGCTTCAGGCGGTAATGAGAACATAAATCTGTTAGCCTCTCTTAAGGTCTCTGGAAACACACAAAAGCTGTTGGGTTTTTTCTTGAAAAGTGTAAAGTCATCATTTTTGGTGATATTCATTTAAATCAGGCATGTTTTACCATTTGGGGCAGAATTTCCTTGATAGAAACTAAATTATGAGGTCTCCAACCATCACGCTTTACTTGAAGTATACAATTATGTTCCCAAAAACAAGGTCGGTGGACAAAGGCCATCAAATGTGCCATTATGTGGCATTTGAATCTGGAGAGGACGTGGATTCTAGACGGACAAGAAGAATCCTCTGGCATATAGATCAGTGACTTACAGACTTCTGGCAGAGAAGGCAGACCAAATGCACAGGGCTAGTGTTCGTTTATCCTTACTGCTCCTCTCTTCCTATGTGAAAGGACTCATAATTCGTCATTAAGATGGGGAAATTTCCAGCTTCATCAGCAAAATTAGAAAGAAGGAGGAAGCAGCTTGATGCATAGAGTTAAATCACACTGGAAATTCTATTTACCTTAGAATCAGAAAATCGAGCTTCTATGCTTTCTGGCCTTTGGTAACTGTGAGAAACAGCCCTATCTGAGCCTGTATTCTCACGGGTGAAAAAGGAGTAATAGATACTGTGTGATTAGCCGACAGGCTGCCATGCTCAGCTCATTGGCTGCTGTATTGAAAGTCGGAACCTTCTCTTAGGATGGAGGGTGCCTAAGAACACGATTTTACATTGGCAGAGGGCTTTGTACTTATTTATTCACTACTTTTTGAATAAGCCTCCAACATCCTGTCCAGTTGGGAGTTTCTTCACTCTAGTAGTTCAGAAAATGTCTCAAATTTTGCTCAAAATCCCTCTTTTAGGCCTTATTTTAGGTAGGGGCACAGGTAATGTAATCTTAAACACTTTTTTTTGGGCCCTGGGAATATACTCAGTGGTAGAGTACATGCTTGGCTCTCCTGAAAATCCTAAGTAGCTCCTATGTTATAACAACCCTGTTGTTAGTCACTAAAACGGTAATAAATTTATAGTCTACAATAAGAGATTACAGATTCAGGAGAAGCTTAATATTTATTGAGAATCACAATTAATTTCTTAATACCATCATAAGATATGTCACAAGAAAGACAGTGGCTTACAGGTCATTGGATTTTCACAAGCCATGACATGTATGGTGGTCTTAAGAAGGAATTTGAATTTTGCTTGTTCTGAAGCAGAAAGTCATGCATGCTAATTGTATCACACCATGTTTCCCACTGGGAGTCACAATTTCTGGGTGTTATATGCAGTTTCAGGATTGTTGAAATTATATTAATTTTCACAGCTCCTTTTCTAGATGGGGTATTTTCCCCCTGCCCCTCAGGACAGACTTCCAAGAGAATACGCATGGTCTAGACAATTTGCAAGATCATTTTATTATTATAATTCTTCAGTGTTTTTAAAGACTATTTTATGATAAAAGCTGCAAATAAAAATTATAGCGTGCATGACCCTATTCAAATGAATGTATATAATTGATTTATATGATCTATATTAACCCATCAGCTTTTTAAAGAATAAAAATTACAAAAACACTTCTAATGAATAACAGATCAAACACCATGTTTTTGGAAGGTAGTTGTGGCAGGAAACAAACAATTCATACTTAACGAATTTCAAGTTTTTCTTTACTACTTATTATTTGATTAATATCCTATTTAGGTTACTTAGTGTAGAATATAGTTTTATAATTGGCAATCTCCCATTTATTAAGAAATAGATAACTTCTCACTTTAATTGTATAAAAATCCAATTAAAGCTCCCCGATACCCCACCTCTCTAGCACCAACTCTTCATACAGCAAATCTTTGCAGTCCCAGGACACTTGTGACCTTCAGCAGCTTTTTGGCCTCCTATCCTTCCCACAAATGTATCCAATCAATTACAGCTAGACCCTCTGTATCTGGGTGACAGTTGTGTAGCTTGTTCTGTCTCTGGGACCCCTGACAGTGGTACCAAGACCTGTCCCTGATGCATGAGCTGGCTCTTTGAAACCTATTCCTTATGGTGGGATGCCTGGCCCAGCCATGGAGCAAGGAGGAAGAGCTTGGTCCTGCCTCATCTTGATATACCATGACATGGAAGGTCTTAGACCTTCTGAATGGAGACATAGGAGGAGTGGATGCGGGAAGGGGTAGAAGGGAGGTTGGGGAAGGAAACAGGAGGAGAAGAGAGAGGGGAAACTGTGGTTGCTATGTTATATAACTAATTAACTAACTAACTAACTAACTAACTAACTAACTAAATTTAACAAAAAGTACCCAAGAACCCAGTGACTGGTGAATTCACTGTTGAGCCTCTGACTTAACAAGTGCTACCTATTTTTGAACAGAATCAAGTGTAGTGAATTGGGAAAGATATTGTGAAAATTTATATTGTCTGTGCTGCGGAAATACAATGTTTTTGATCTGGATCTTTAGAAAACAGGAGAAATTTTTGTGTAAGACAAGAAGTTATCATCAAGCGACAATGTCCGTTGGTTGTCTGTCTATACTCTACTATATATCTCTAGTCTTCAGGTCATTATTGTTATTGGGAAAGACAAAATATTCTAATTCAATGTTTTCTGTAGCTCTTTTTTTTTCTGTTACATCCCAAGGTTCATTGGCTATAAAGGTGAACTGTACTTTGCTGAAATTGTCATAAATAGAACAACCCAACATTGGGGCGCCAGTGAAATCTGTATTTCAAAATTAAAGAATGAATAGTTTTTAACAGACTTCTATCACATGGAATTTAAAACACATGGATATGGTCAATAATCATTAATACTTCAAGCAAAACTTGCCAGCATTTTCCATGCATGTGTGTATATAAATAAACTCATTTTAAACTGTGTTTAATTTCTTATTCAATGCCCCATTTATCAATATTATATAAGAGAAAAAAATGACAATTTCTAAGCAACTTAGAGTGATGTATTTCTGTACTTCTTCTTAAATGCTCTCTCCATAGCTTTTGTACAATAGATTTCATATTATTGTTTACTCTTCAGTTGAAAAATTCAAGATGAATTTTGTGAAACTTACAGTTTGATTATTTTGACTAGAAAATTCCAGACATATAATCTAAAAAAAAACTTGGATGAGAAAGCATATTACATTTATTATTTCATTCTATATCTATAACATAATGATATTTTGCCCCCTTTTGTTGTGGTATCTAACTGAAAAAATACAGTATAAAATTGTGGTTGAAAGCAACATGTATGTTGTTGTGCCTTCTACGCTAGCCAGGAAAGAAAATTTAGGCTCAGTAATGGCATTGTCAATTCATATAAATAATCGTTGGCTTCTAATTAAAAAAATCCCTTAAAGGATGGAGTGAGGAAAATTCTTATTTTCACAAATCTGATTTCTTATCTCTAAGCTGCATTATACTTTGTCATTCTAGCTGTCTCAATAGCCAGAGATGAAATGGATCAGAAAAGGCAATCTGTGTCAGAATACTTCTTATACATGAGTTTATTATGGATATAACTAACAAGAGTAGAAACATAGATATTTAAGGAGCTGTGAAATTAGGTAGGATATTCTCCTGTATAGATTAGTTATGTAACAATTCTTTTTGGTAAGATTTTTCATGAAGTGAACAATGTGAGCATAGAATTAGAATAAATAGTTAGACAAATCAAAACGTTTATACCTTGGACCCCAAATTCATAAAATCTGAAAAAATATCAATGAAATTATATCAAATTTATCAAAGTATTTTGAATACTAAAATACTTAAAAATGCAACATATTGTAATTACTCAAAAACTAATTAAAATCCTTTAAATTACTGATTTTTGGTGTTTATTTTTATTATCTCTAATCTAATAGAACAAAATCTCAAGAGCTATGGTTTTATTCAGTTATGTAAGTTCATCCCCAAGCTAAACCGAAAATGATGCAAATTAGCTGATTTTGCAGATTCAGTCTCATTGAACTACTGATGTTCTGCTGTACCAAGGGATCCATTAACACACTCTAAGTGGATCTAAACCTGAGTCAGTGTTTATTAACACACCCTAAGTGGATCTAAACCTGAGTCAGTGTTTATTAACACACCCTAAGTGGATCTAAACCTGAGTCAGTGTTTATTAACACACTCTAAGTGGGTATAAACCTGAGTCAGTGTTTATTAAGCATTGACCTCTTGTCAAGTGAAAGTTGGCTTACTAAATCACTGGTACTTTTAAGAACTATGTCTTATCTTTGAACCTTATGCTTCCCCATCCTTGCCTCCATAATTAAGACATTTGTTACAGAGGATGGCACCCCAGTTTGGAATGCTTTTGACTATACCCTATTATCACTCATTTTTAGGGCTATCTAGAATTTAGTATCCTAGGATATTATAAATTAAGTAGTAAATGCTTCTAGGAAGAGAATGTCATTGGATTGGATATTGATACATGGTTTATTTTGTAGAATCATTCTTTGTTGTTTGAAATACAACAAATATATATATATATATATATATATATATATATATATATATATATATATATATTTGTATACTGTGTGAAGATGCCTCCGTGTCTCCTTTTATTTCACCTGCCTAAGACACCTTCCGATTGATTTATTAGAGGTTTGGGCAGCCAATAGGTAGGCAGAAAGAGGATAAGCCTTCTGCATAGAGGTAGGAACTCTGGGAAAGAATATGAAGTAGGGATTTGTTAGTCAGTTATGGAGGAAGTCATGAGATGAGATAATGAGCCACGTGGCAGAACATAGATTATTAATATAACTGGGTTAATTTAAATTTTAAGAGCTAGTAAGGATGAAGCTTAAGCTAAGGTCAAGCTTTCATAATTAATAAAAAGTCTCCATGTCATTATTTGGGAACTGGCAGTCTAAAGAAAGACTTGTTACATTTAGTGACCAACATTCAATGCATATATTCAAACATAGGGCCTGAGTAATCTGAGAAAGGTTCTAGGCATGGGGCCAGACATAGTTTCTGAGC